ATCAAATTTACTATTTTTACTAGTAACTGTTAATATTTAAAGAAAATCATAAAGTCAGGTTTTATCTGATATTAATTTGGTACTTTGGTTAATAGTTACATTTAATTCTATACTAATTTAAAGTTGGAAGAAGTAACCTTTAAACTCTCAAAAAGTCTTAGACATAGTATATTTCATAAATATATTTTTTATATTTTTCAAGTTAACTAGAGAGAAATTTTTAGAATTGTTTTTTGAAGTTTAGTTAAGACTAAGGCTATTACTTCTATATTATTTCAATATTTTACATGACTTTCAGGTGTCTGCTTTAAAATATTTTAGAAGTCACATAAAATGGAAGTTAAACAAAAATAAAACAAATTTTAGTATTGGATCTCATCTTTGGAAAACCATTTATTTGAAAGAAAGTAATTTAGCAAGGATTTGGCTGACCTGAGGAACACATTAACTCATAATATTTTATAGCAGTCCAGCCTGTCATATTCTGTAAACACTGGATATAGTTACCTGGAATGCCATAGACTTAAAACAACTAACCCAAAGAAGAAAATTGTTAGGAAAAATAGATTGGAAGAAGACTGCCTTTAACTGAGGGGAGAAAGGCAATGTTATGAATGAGAGAATTTATCTTTAAGAAACAAGAGTGGGGGCCGGCCCGGTGGTGTACCTGTTGGGTGCACGTGCTCTACTTGGCAAGCCATGCTGTGGTGGTGTCCCATGTAGAGTGGAGGAAGATGGGCATGGATGTTAGCCCAGGGCCAATCTTCCTCACAAAAAAAATAAATAATCAAAAATCAAAAAATAAGGAACAAGAGTGAATGTTTATTACATACATGAATTCATTATAATGAAGGTATATAATGAAGTATTATAATAATACTAATAAAAATATTTCTAAGACTTTTATGTCTGGTTCAAGTAAGAATCTTACTAAAATAACTTTTTTCCTTGCATTTTTGTCCCCCCGAGAGTCATGTTCTAGTTATGCACTATTTTCAAAGCTTTTTTCCCTTGCCATATTCACTGCAGAATTGAACTGTGGTAGGAGAGAAAAGCCCAACAGTTCAGCTTTTTAATTTTACTTGGATAGTCTATAGTTGAACACAGTTACTTGTTCTTCTGACCTCTTCTTAGCTCAAATATTCCAACCACTTCTTTTGGAAAAACTCACCTAAACTTTAAACAAATCACCAAAACTAAAAATAAGCCCACAAAATATCCAGGAACTCGGAATATGACTGGTGTCCTTGTTAAGGGGGAAATTTGGACACAGACGTGCACACAGGGAAAATGCCATGTGAAGGTTGGAGCTGGGCTCCCAGAGCCAAAGAACTACAAGAAGCCAGGAGAGAGCCCTGGAACAGATCCTCCCCTAGAACCTTTAAAGAGCATGGCTCTGTCGGCACCTTGATCTCAGACTTCTAGCCCCCAGAACTGTAAGACAATCAATGTCTGTTGTTTAAGCCACCCAGTCTGTGGTTCTTTGTTACGGCAGCCCCAGCTAACTGATACAGGCCTGGTAGAGAAGGGTTGTAAAAGCACCTATAGAGACTGAATCTCACCAGTCTGGAATGAGATGGGCAAGTGCATCTAAATCCATCGGTACTTTTTTCATCTTCCTAAAAGATACTAATGCTCAGTTGATAACAGCAGGCATTGAATTAGCTTGGACATACCACAGGAATGTACACGTTTTATTGTTCCCTGGATTGCTCTATGAAACTGAGTAAAAGTACATCTCCTGATTCAGAGGTTGCATCTAAAATATCCTGTAGTGACAAAGGGGGAAATTTTGATAATAGATGTGTTGGCTTCTTACAGTATAAACTAGAAAACTGATTCTGTCAGATCTTACCAACGATCATACTTTCTACAGTATATCAAATGATGCATCAAATCACAGCAACAAAAAGGTGTTCCCTAGGAGGTTCAAATTGAATTTTTGATTTCTATGAAGGTTACAAAGAAACTGCATAAAACATAAAAATTGTTGATATGTTGTTCAGATACAAATTAGACTCTGCTCATCTATCTGCATTTTCGGCAGACAGTGCAAATATAAACTTTGACAAATTCCATTCAGTGTATAAACTTCTTGCCAACGAGAAGGAAAAGATATTACCTGCTAAATGTCTTCCACACCTTGCATACAGCACTACTAAAAAGGGATATGATTTGCTTACCTCTGATATTGAGGCTTTCATAATGAAAGTTATTCTCATCTTTAGTTTCCTCAGAACCTGCAGAAGCGCCTAATGAGATTTTTGACTTTATAGAAAAGAAAGGAGACGGCTTCTGTAGACATATGCCTACAAGATGGCTATGATTGGGGCCTGGCCCTGTGGCGTAGTGGTTAAGGTCGCGAGCTCTGCTTCCATGGCCCAGGGTTCGCCGGTTCGGATCCTGGGTGCAGACCTATGTACCGCTCATCAAGCCATGCTGAGGTGGTGTCCCACATAGAGCAACTAGAGAGATGTACAACTACAGCATAAACTGTCTACTGGGGCTTTGGGGAGAAAAGTAAAAAAGGAGGAAAATTGGCAACAGATGTTCCTCAAAAAAAATAAAATAAAATAAAAAAGATAGCTGTGATTGTTGCCAGCAAATGTTGGCCTGCTATAAAATTGTATGTTCAAAGTGTGAGGCAAGAAGAATGTCCTTCTTTAATTTGGAAATAAATTGAGGATGAGAATGCAGAAAAGTATTATAGTAAAACATATTTATGTACTATTTCTCCAAAACTGTTTGGTGATCGTTGAGGAGGCCATAAGGAGCTAGGAAAGGATGAACTATCTGTACCTGAGTTGTTTGATACTATGTGCAGGTTGTGACAAAAACTCACAATGAAAAAATGGCTCATTTTTGAGTTCTGAACTCAACAATGTTACTAGAAAAGAGTAGCCACATTAAACAAGAATTTTTTTACTAAAACTGTAACTTATTTGGAATCCATCCAACCTGCTTTGGAGTGTTTAAAAATGATGGATATTTTAGAAATGGGTAGCTTATATGACAATTTATACATGCAAAGGACCTTACAGACAAACAGCTGGTCCACCCAAACAAGCTTGTAGATACAAAGTGGATTGACATTTTTAGAGAGCTGGAAACTTAATTCTTGTAACTCTAAAAGCCTGCTGTTAGAAAGTAAAATCTTAAGTATTTTATGGTCAGATGCATTTGTTGAGAAAATATTTAGCTTGAGGTCTTCATATTGAACTGATATCAGTCATGTGGGCTTCTAAGAGCAGAGCCACAAGTCAAAGTGAATTTTACATTTGACTGTAGTTGTTTTACTCCTGCAAAAAAAAAAAAAAAAAAAATTAAAAGGTCACAGGCAGTTCAGAGAAGTATTATTGGGAAGAGGAACAAAGTGTAAAAATATCCTACTGTATCATGGATAGAAAAATGTCATTTTTTAAATTAAATATAGGTAATAACTGCTTATGTAATTAGTCCTATTTTATTTACATTCTCCTTTTAAAAAGTCTTACATTTACAGACTGTACTATAATAGGCTATACTGTATCTTACAGTATAGCCTATTAAATTTAAATATCCAACAAAAAGTTAAATAAAATGGCAGAAACATTATAAAAATAGTGTATTTTTTCATATATTTCATTTATTTAATTAGTTATATTAATTACTACTAATTGCCACTATTAGCTAGTCCTATTGTTTTGTTTAAATAAAAGTGTTTATTGTAACAGAAAAGTAAATAGTACAGAAAAATATATAATTTCAAACACTTATTCTTCGTATTTCTATGTTAGAGTAATAACACGTGCATAATCATTTCTTGCGTATTGTTGTCTGTTTTTGGACTGGTATGACTGTGTCCCGGTTGACTCTAAAAAGTTGACCGCCCCTTGTGCACAGTGCTCATCTTGCCCACTGTCTTTGCCTCTTTGGCCATGCTGCTTCCCTGCTTCCTCATCACACTTAAATTTCACTAAGGACAGTGAGTTTGAGATTATAAAAACTTTAGATTAGTCTTGGAAAAGCTAATTCTTGTAATCTGGCTCTGAATTTTTATCCCTAAAATAATGTATGTGGAGAAGTACTGAAAACCTTCAAATAAAAAGCTCATTAATTATTTTTTTTTGTTGCTTTATGTTGTTCCATTTGGAAAGCAGCATGGTATAACCAGTAGGAAAATGTTTCTGAAGTTCCACGTCTATCTAATGTTTTGGGGGCAGGTAGGATTATTTCCTTTGGTGTGTAGTCATAATTTTGATTTAATTGGAAGTGATGGAATGACTTCATTTACCTAGTAACATTTTTTAAATTGCATACAATTTATGGAATGTATACTTTTGGTTTTCTTTCTAATGCTTGTTAACTCTGCTATACTTTTTGTATTATTAAATTGGTGGAATGTACTAGGCATTATGTTTCTAAATTCGGAAAGGTCACAAAAGTATGTGTTTTAGCTGTAGGATCTTGATTGACAAATGTATTTTTCAGGTCAAACATGATAGATAAGATTTAGCATGTGTTGTTATATTTGGCAAATACGCATCTGCTCATAGGCTTATGTGTTGTTATTTAGAATGTTAAGTATACTTTTGAGATTTTGAAGGTTCTTCTATTAATGGATATAAAAATGAGTTCCTATTAGGTATTTAATTGCTATAAAATTCCTCAGCTTCTGAAATTCACACTACTTTGATCATTATTTCTATGGTAATTTGAGAATGCCATCACTAAAGGCTATTTGCAGAATTCATGAGTTTAATGTGAGACAATCTGTTTTCATAAGTGAACATTATATACATAAGTGAACATGAGTATGCAATAGGCTGTCTTTTTAAAATATTGTAGAATTCTAATGACATTTCTAAGTTCTCATAAATAAGAAAATCAGTTTAGCAGACTTGGTCTGTTTTGATATTGATTGTTATTTTATGCTGAAAAGCAATTGACTATTTCTTCAATATTTGGAAATTTTGATAAGAATGTTATCCCTGACATTGTGTTTTATGCTTATCATCCAGAAGGATGGAGTGCTGGCATACATTGGGAATTTTCGCCTGCTTGCAGAACTTTCCAGCCCTTTTGTGAATCAGCGGTAGGTTACTGATATCATTAATTATTTAAAACTTGAGCCGTTGATTTTTAGCTTGGGGAAAATTTCTTTTTCAAGATCCTAAAGCTACTATATAAAAATGAGAATATATGATATGAATTTTTATCACCTTTGGACAAATGAGGAAACCAAGCCTTGGAAAGGTTAGAGAAACTTGTCCAAGATTCCCTACCTGGGAAGTGGTGGTCCCAGCTTTTGAACCCAGCTCTCTTTGCAGGATGGCAATGCTTTATTATACTTGGCTTCATCTTGGGTCCAGTTCATATTCCTGACACCAACTTCCTCCTTTTCCCAAATTCTGATATTGACAATATCTTAGTCCCTCATTTTTTGAAAATAATGTTTTTATTTCAGATATACAGAAACGTTTGAAAGATAGCACAGAAACTCCCTTATACTCTTCTTCTCATTTCCCCTGTTGTTAATATCATTACCCTGGAACATTTGTCAAAACTAAGAAACTGGCATTGATAGGTTACTATTAAGTAAACTCCAGCCTTTGTGAGATTTCATCAGTTTTTCCATTAGTGTCTTCTTTTTGTTCTAGGATTCAATCCAGAGTGCCATATTGCATTTAGTTGTCACGTCTCCCCATCTCCTCTGGTCTGTAATAGTTTCTTAGTTTTTCCTTGTTTTTCATGACCTTGACGGTATTAAGGAGTACTGTCCATCCATCTGTAGGATGTCCTTCAGTCTAGATTTGTCTGTTTTTCTCATGGCTAGACGGAGGTTATGGGTTTTTGGAAGAAATTGCATGGAAGTGTAGTGCCCTCTCGTCATGTCATATCAGGAGGAACGTGATAGCCACATGATATCACTGGGGATGTGAACTTGCATCACGTGGTTAAGGTGGTGTTTGCCCGGTTTCTCCACTATGAAGATTTTCATTTTTCTTACTCTATTCTTTGAAAGCAAGGTATGAAGTATAGCCCACTCTCAAGGGGGTGAGGGAAAGAGAAAATTAAGCTCTGCTTCCTGGAGGTAGTAGCTTGTTTTTGACAATGGATTTATTATTATCCTTCATTACCCTTATCTTGTGATTTAACAAAGTCTGCAGACATTTTTTCTGTGTAATGTTTAGCTGTTCCTTTCATTCTGTATCCATGGTCCTAGTGTAGGCCTTCAGGATCCCAGGGTGTAATTACTGCAACAGCCTTCTGACTGACTTCCTTAATTCCAGATTCACCCTATCTTCAGTCCTTTCCTCACAGCGCCACCAAAGTAATCCTTCTTGTGTTTCACTTTCGGTACCTTATTTTCTTATTGAAAACTGCATCTGGTTTAGACTCTTCTCCGACTTTTGAAGTTCTCTGTGATGTGCTCCATATGTCTCCAGCCTTATTTCTTGCTACTCATTAGAGTCAGTTTTGTACCCTTACTCTTTAGTGCACCTGTGGGTTGTTCTCACATTGCTTCCTTTATTCGTATTCTCCATTTCCCCTGCATCTTTGAAAAATTTACCCGTCTTTCAAGTCGTAAGTCAAACTTCCAAACCCAGGAAAGACTCCCATGATTACGTGCAGCCTTTTGTGACCTGGTACAGGGAAAACTTAGAGAATTGGGAATATCAAATCAGACTTTTATGAGTTGGAGGACTTACCCTGTATCAAGCCTTACTGATAATCTCAAGGATACAGGTAATCACGTGGCACTGGCAAAGCAGGGAGATGTTCAGGACCATCAACATAGCTCCCTACGTCCTTTTTTATTGGGCTCATTCTACAATAAGGTTATCTGTGAAGTCCTAAGCAGTATGTGTAGTTCATATCACTGATGTAGAAGGAGCTTTCTGTGTTATGAACATCTCCATTTAATACTCAGATGGTTACACAGCTTATGTAATGTTACCCCATAAATATGTACATTCCAGGTTTGTTTACCACAGCAATCCCAGACTGCTAAAGGCGTTCTGTAGATGAAGACTCTCCTGCTACAGATACCATTGTTCTATTTATCAGGAGATCTGTCATTAGTCTGTTTACCAGGCCATTAACCTGATTACCTGTCTTTTTTTTTTTTTTTGCCAAGGGGGCGGGGATCCTTCTACTCCAACACAGGCAAGAATGGATTGCAGATCTGCTGCCTAACCTGTTCTTTCCCAAGTACTTCTATAAGGTCTAATTTTGTTTGCCAGTGTTTCTTTTTTTTTTTTTTTT